GAGAGAGATAGATAGATGGATAGATGGATAGATCGATCGATCGATAGATTGATAGATAGATAGATCGATCGATAGATCGATAGATAGATAGATAGATCGATAGATCGATAGATAGCTAGAGAGAGATAGATTGATAGATCGATAGATAGATAGATAGATCGATAGATAGATAGGTAGATAGATAGATAAATAAATAAATAACATGTAGCTTCGAAGCCCTAAAATGAAGCTTTTCTGCGAGACATCCTTCAACGAAGGTTCGAAACTCAAAAAACAAGCTTTCCTTCAAAAATGAAGCTTCGAAGCTCTAAAACGAAGCTTTTCTACGAGACTTCCTTCAGAACTGAAGCTTCCAAACTCAAAAACCAAGCTTTTCTGCGAAACTTCCTTCAAAAATGGAGCTTCGAAGCTCTAAAACGAAGCTTTTCTGCGAGCCTTCCTTCAAAAATGAAGCTTCGAAACTCAAAAACGAAGCTTTTCTGCGAGACTTCCTTCCAAAATGATACTTCGGGCACGAATAGGGTCACCAGCGACCACAAAGGGGACGCACCATTTTTGTGTGACAGGTGTGGGACTCCAAGCACACTTGGTCACTTGTGACCCTATCTTTTTTACTTCAGAACATAGAAACAGTGAATAGGGTCACAAGCGACCAATGTACCTATTACATTGCCACAGCTGCCTCGGAATTTCCCCCAAGCCAATTTGCTGATCAATCACATGCCAGATAATTGTCAGGTGCGATTTTCCAAATGCAACATAGATCTGGCTGCCAATACATCAACACGAGTGCTCCCTTGATAAGAGAGGACGAACGGAGACTGTGTTGGAATCTGGTGTGGTTTAAAGTTTAAAGATGAAAGATCCAAACAAAGTCATGCAGTATCTGCAACGTCAATACAAAGGAAATGCCGTCACATCCACAAGAGTCACAAGAGGAAAACGGAACACTGAACAAAACACAGAGAGGCATCCTGATACAAAATAAATGCCGTGCTTTGACTCGACCATTCCAAGGTTTGAAGTGAAGGTTTCATAGGGGAGCAGATATATAAAATTATATAAACAGTTCAACAACGAAAAGCTCGCTATCCCTCTCACGTCTGGGAAATGCAGCCAGAAAACTCTCGCGAACTTAACTCATTGCGGAGCTGTTGACACCTAGTGGCAGGTTCAAATGCACAACCTCAGCCCCTAGTCAAGTTGAGCAACCCCAGCTGTCTCACACCTGCTACTAGTTGCTTTCCACGCTTTGAACCTTGCAATCGGAAAAGCAAAGGAAGTCAACAAGACGGTCAGCCAGGATTCATCGACTCGTGACTCGTGATACCCTGTATGATTTGAAAGCCCTTCAATCAAATACCTTTGACATCCTCTGACCAAACTTTCCACATGACATGCTACACTTTTCCATCTTTTCCTGTGACCAGCAAAGTCTTTTGTTAGTTGCTCCCCTGCATTCGGACGCTTAGTGCTTCCACTTTTCTGGGCGTGACTTGCTGTTTTTGTTTCAGGTGTTCCTCCTTCAGGTGCCCTACAGTCGCATGGACGCTTTTGTGGGAAATGTGGGAATGCGCTACGCCTGAAAGGTGTCGGGACAAATGCCGGGATACAAACGGCCACAAGACAGTGCAGCCGTTTTGCTGTGTTGCTGATACAACGGCATGATGCTTACCCGTGCACATTGTGTTGTCTTACCCCGGCTACGCGCATGCCTTGCTTGTATTATCAGTGTCCCTTATCTGACAGGTCAAACATCAGCACCATCTTTACTTTGGTTTAGAACGGTTTGGACCGTCTGGAGCATTCGCGACGGGTTCCTGTCCAAGGGGGCCTTTGCATTCGTTAGCTTGCAAATTACAATGACAGGTGAACAGTCATCACATGTTTTCAACACTAAATCACCATGACGCCTCACTATGCATCATGCAGCTAGATCTGAAGCTTCCTAAACCTACTGCTCGTCATCTAGATGATCAAACATATATATATATATATATGGTATGGTACGGTATGGTATGGTATGGTACGGTATAGTATGGTAGGGTAGGGTACGGTAGGGTAGGGTATGGTATGTAATGTATGTATATATCTATACGTATACATAGACATAGACATAGATGTATATGACAGATAAGACATGAGAAAATGATCGTGTAGCTATGTCATCTTATGCCCAGTGTGTCTCTGGTATCCTAGAGATGAGTATCTGACTGTGGAGGAGGATCTCCAGCCTGGCCACTGAAGCTTTGCCAATGGATCGACCCGTCACCCGTCCTTTTGGTTCTTGAAGCACACAATGCCAGGTTCAATCAGTGCTATGACAGTGCCATGTGTCCCGCATTCGCATTGGTCACATCAAATCACAGCGCACCTCTGAGCTGCACGTTTCCTGTCGTGTCATTTCCCACGCTCTGTGCTCCATCTCCAAAGCCTGCGAAAACACGGAGAAACCTGGGGCACAGGAGACCGTGCAACCTGCACCTCTCTGCAACTATCCTTGCTACAGGTAGCATCCTTAAGGCATTCAGGAATCCTTAGCAAGCTACACTCTGCTCTCATCACCGCTGTGCATGGTTCTTTGGGTCCATCTGTTCCGTCCATTTACCCACGCCAGAGTCCTCATGAAGAGTCTTCGCGATCTTGTTCTGCCCTCCCCAATCCTGTTATCGCGTCACCACGATTACTGACTGGTGATGCAGGAGTCGAACGTGAAGGTTTCATGCAACTCAGAAACAGGCCTGCCATGACGCAAATTTGTCCATCATCTGAGCTCCTCGTCAACCCGGATCAAGGTCACAGCCACAGCAAAACCATGATAAAAAAAAGAACCCTGTGAAGCTGTGCCAATGCACCCGCAGCATCTTCCAGAGGGTGGTCTTTGCCAAACCTTGTCACTTGTGTCTATGTTCGATTGTTCTCACCCGAAAACTCAAAGCTCAAAAAACTGTTCGAGTTTTTTGTGACGTCTCTGAGATGGCTGCTCTATGATACCGAAGGCAGCTGCGACAAGCAGCACAAGTACAAAGACAACAGTGACCTGGCAGCTCTTCATTCCAGGGGAATCCATTCTTCCTGTACAGCAAAGCGCGCTTCCAGTATGTTTCCATCGCTGCTCTAGCATGATCCAGCGTGTCAGAGCATTGAGACTGCTAGTCTAGGATGAAAAACAGCAAGCCCATTCAGCCAAACAAATCTGCACCACGTCGAACGACTGGGGGATCAGGCAGGCTTGAAAGCTTCTTGGTCAGCTGCTGGGCCTGGGCAGCAAAATTTTGGAGATCAAGCAAATCAAGCATGAGAAAGGTTGAGTTTTTTTTCTAAGCATTTGGAGGGGTAGTAATTGTGCATGTTTGTCTTCTGCAAAATTTTTGCCCTCGCAATTTCACTTTTGCCCTTTGCTTGTCGCAAAGCCAAGGCTGGGTTGACTCTTCGCAGCCAATTATTTGTGCGTACACACGAGTCGTTGAGCATTTATTGGAAGTCGGAATGAAGATAGGGCTCGAGCTGGTTTGATCAGAGTCGAGAGACACATCTTCCACCTGCGAATTTCGTACCATGGTTTGAATGTGTTTGGACTTGAAGATCATTGCAAATCAAAGAAACACAGACTCTATGCAAACGGCCTGGAACTGGTGGAAGTACATGTCACAGTAAATATTCTGTTGCGTAGCCAAGGAGCTACTGAATCTGTTGAGAAGTTGATTCAGTTGATTGAACATGTTCACTCAACATCCCATGACCCTCGTCAATGTATTAGTAAAGCCCTGATATAACGAAGACAACCACAATGGATGAACTACTTGGAACTGCCACCAAACCATGCTGATTTGTTCAGGTGCCTGCTTGGCACTGCATCAAAGCACTCTGAAAGAGCCAGAACTGCAGCAGACTGTTATTGACGAATGACGTTTGTAGTACAAAGTGGTAGCACTGCAAAGATGGCAAGAATTTCGACCTCCGGAGCCATGTAACGAGGTGATCCGCCGTTATTCTTCTTTGTGATGTGAGTTCTTTCCTGAGGCAGTTGAGTCTAAAGTGCAGACAGGTCTTTTCATTTTTTTTCAGGGTGCCTCAAAGTGTCTTTGCATGTCTTTGCGCTTTTGCTGCGGAACGCTTCAAAATTGCAGCTGTCTTCTATGCACATGAAAATCAAAGTGTTCCAGCCGCACTATGTCATACTCTGTGCTGATGTACTGAGCATCAAACCATTGACTCGGTCAGGCCAAAGTCGCAAAGTTTGATGTTCAAGCTCAGGTCCAGGACCACGTTCAAGCTCTGGAACAGGGACAAAAGGCGGGGACAAATGGAAACCCATGGAAGAATGCAGTACACACCAACATGCCAGAAAACATCAGAAAACTACCAAAAGTTCGGTCGGAAGGGTAAACGTATGCCTTAAAAAAACGGAGCAAGCAGCCAGGTACACAAGTAGCAGCCATGCACTGCCACCTTCAAATCTCGATGTACCACAATTGGATTTTGAGAGTGCAAATAAACGACTCCTTCCGCCAGTTGGAGACACCTCAGTTCGAATGCAAAAAAATACACCCGCACATCACACACACACACAAACACAAATAAATAAATCAACCAAGCAAGCAAGCCAGCCAGCAGGCAAGCAAGCAAGCAAGCAACCAACCAACAAACAAACAAACGCACTTGCTCAGAACAGTTACTTGCCTCTCATCTATATATATATATATTACATATATATATAATATATATATATATAAATTCTGGAGCACTCAACCGATGTTAGCCAATGTTTAAAGATAGTTTCAAGAATCTTCTCATTTGCCATCTGGGCTTTCGACATGTTTGTGCAATGAAGTAGCCTCACAAGATCACTAACACGGAAGCGCAGTTTGTGTCACAAGCTGACAATATACACTGCCACTGAGTGCAATCTGTGCAGTGGAGAGTCTTGAGCTCTTAACACTTAACTGAACTGAACACTTCATAATGCGGAAATTAGTAAAACAATGTAAAACATTCATGCGCTCTCTTTCCAGACTAGACATGCAGCAGTTTCCGGCGTGGTGTACCTCCGAAATACCCGTCGGGTCACCCTCTGCAATAAAAGGATAAAAATGGTGTGAATATGTGTGAATGCTACAAACTCTTGCCAAACTCTTGCCAAACAACATGTCCACACATTTTTCCTGCACTCCTTGCAACCGGACCGACAGAGACCGACAGACTTCCCACACAATGCAGGGAAGTTCAGCCAACTCGGCCAAGCAGCGGCAGGGAAAGTTTTCGAACGTGAAGAAGGTGATGTAAGGACCCACCAGGAGCGTACTGCAAAGACTGATAAGACTGCACACATTGCAAGCTCTGCAAGCCACAAAACATCTACTGCAAGCAATCCAGAGCAAAGTGAAGGGTATGCTTCGAACCCTCCATAAATCCATGACTGCTTTGCAGTCCTAGGTAGTTAATGTTTGAAAAACTGCATCTCCATGTTCCCGTCTCTTTGCATGTCTCTATCTCTCAATGCTTTCGGAGTTGTCCTCCGTCACAATGCACCTGATTGTCAATCAAGAATTCGACAGAAAGCTGTATACAGAGTACAAAGTACATAGAAATACAGCGACAGTGCCGATGTCAAGGGCAAACCACTCAACCAGAATCCCTTGTCATCCTATCTTTCAGCTTCGAACAGGTTGGGAATTTCAAGGCATGCTCCCACAAAGTTCACAAGTCGCTTGTGTCGAAGATGCCTTTCGCACTTTGCACTTGAATGCAGAGCTGTAATAGCTGCCATGGCGAGACAAATGAGACAATGCCGAGCAAAGAGGCCCACAAATCTCGCAGTTGCATGGCCTGAATGACTCGATTTCTCGGGTCAAATCCTGGATGATGACCTTAGATTCTTGTCCCCTTCACGAGTTGAAAAAAACGGAAGAGTCTCACCAGCCTGGGGAAGAACGGTGTTGTCCCAGTAAAGTTGTTTGATGGCGACCTCACCAAAAGCCAACAGAATGATACAGAAAAGGCAGTGTGGCCAAGGAGTCACAGCCATGGGAGAGGGTCTAGCTGGCTTCCACCATGTCTTCTGCAATGTCTCACCTCCTGGCCCTTGTAGAAACCACGGAAAACCTGCCCGAACTCACCAGAACCTGCAAGGACACTGCTCTGTTGCGCAGTCTGACAGTGACTGACCACGCGTGAATTTTGTCAATCACAAAATGCTAAAGTCGTGTGGTACGTCATGTGGTAACCGTGACGGCTCATGTGACGGCTCATGGAGAAACATGGAGGAACACCCCTGTCATGATAAAGAATGATACAGAACCACCGTCGCTGTAGCAACATTGGCTTTGGATGTTGTGGGAACAAGTTCAAATTTGTCATTGTGTTTTCCCTTGTCGCAGTAACGAAAACATTTTTCCCCAAACAGTGTGTCCACACTGAAGGGTTCTTCCGGTAAGTGTTAAGGCCGGGGGTTAGATCAGGGTAGGCTCTCTGTTCCCCGGTTTTTTTCCTGTAACTTCTTGCGTAAAATGGTTCTTGTGAGATTGTGCGTCTCGACTGCGCAGGTTTGCTCAAAGTCTGCGGCGCGAGTTTTGCAAGGTCTTGGGCCCCGACATTTTTCCTGAGAATTTTCGCATAACAAATTATGTTGCTCTTCTGACATGTCCATGTGCATTTCGACTGCGCAGGCTCGCAGAAAACGTGCGTCCCAATCTTGGGCCTGGCATTTTTCCTGAGAATTCTATTGTAAAATGGCTCTTGCGAGATCTCCATGTGCATTTCGACTGCGCAGGCTCGCACAAAATGCTTGGCTGGCTTTGGCTGGACCTCTTTTGTATCGTGGCAGGCGCGATACTTTGTAGACCTCGACGCATCCCTCTGCGATGTTCGTGTCGCATTTCGACTGCGCAGTCTCGCACAAAACGTAGGCCTAAGTTGAGATCCTCTAAATTCCTCTCTACGAGGTCCTTGCATGATCCTGTACAGGCCCTTCACAGAAGATCTTGTGGAGATCCTGGTGAGGTCCTCTCTAAGAGGTCCTTGCATGAAGATCTTGCAGATGCCATGTCTTACAGGTGCTTGTCTGAAAGCTCTTGTGGGGGGCTTTTGGGAGGCTCTTGTCTCAAGATCTTGTCAGACCCGCCCCAGAAGCAGCAGGTCCTTTTATGATGATCTTGTGAGCTTCTCTTAGGGGTTCTGGCATGAAGATCTTGGTCCAGGTCTCGTACAAGTCCTTGTGAGAGGCTCTTGAAGAGGTCCCGGTGAAATCCTCCAGGTGTCCTTGCATGATCTCGTACAGGTCCTTGTCAGAAGATCTTGTGGAGATCCTGTTGAAATGCTCTGCGCTGGTGCTTGTATGAAAGTTCTTCTGGGATGCTCCTAGGAAGTTCTTGTATGAAGATCTTGTCAGGTTCTCTGTATATATATATATAGAAAGTGCTGCTGCTGCAGCTGCGATCATGTCTCACCTCATCTGTTGCTGTTCCATAGCTACTGCTGCTTGTATCTGGTACAATGACTTCCTACCCCCCACACTGTTTAGGTCTCTTGCCGGTGTAATTTTTACATGTGATGGGGATCCTTCAGGCTCGGCTATTCTAGATTATTCCAGTATCTGGTATTGGAGAAGGGCTGACCCGACAAATTTGCAGGAGGATTGGAGATTGATAGATGTTGGGGGTTTCAAAGGCCCCATGTCTCGAAGGGGCTGGGCGTGTCAGGGGGTAATCCGCAACAGTTGCCTGGCTGAGCAATTTTGGGTCTGTGTGCCATAGATATAGAATATCTATGAAAGAGACGTGGAATCCGTTGAACCAAAAGGGTTTCATGTTTAACGTTGAACCAAAATCACGTTTCCATTCAGGATTAACAGGAAGGAGGAGCTAAGAGTCAACTGTATCCGCTTCGATTTGCTCAGGTTGAGACCCAGGTGTTCGACAAACTTCAAGTCCCGGTAGTCTGATCGCAAGAGACTCTGAGCATCTGTGAGCATTTCTGAGCACTGAAATCACTGTGAAATTCAGAGTTGGCCGGACAGTTCCCGCCTAATTTCTCCTCGGAGGTGAGCTGGCCACGCTCTTTCTGCGCCTCGCAATACGCACAGGCCGCACGGGGTAGAAGTATTCGTATCGGATTGTCCATCGGATTGCTTCAAGGAACCTGAGCCTGTGATCATCTATGATCATCTGTGATCATCTGTGATCAACATATGCACAGTGACATACTGAATTCCAAGGACGGCCTGAGGCGGATCCCGGCTGTCCTGAGATCTGAGCATGGCATGCACCAAGTGTTTCTGGCAACAACTTCCATGTTCCATGTCCACCACTGGAACTGACCAGACTGCACTCTTTTGCCAATCCATGCCAATCCTTTGTCTTTTCAAGTCTCTTGCCATCACTTAGAACCCCACATCTGCTAGACCAGGCCAGACTGTCAACCTTTGAGTGGAAAAGGAACTTCATACTGTACAGAAGTGCGTGCAGGCCCAAACAATATCTGATTTCGACATAAAGATATACATGCATATACATGCTATGTCTGCGTCTCACTCTCTCTCTCTCTCTATTTATACATGTATGGATGCATGCATGCATGCATGTATGTCTGTATACATAGGTAGAGGGATAGATTCTGTTACTGAGTACTGTCTCGTGGGCTCAAGCCCAGGCAGCTTGTCACTAAGTTCCTGTCAAGGTCGCATCTGTTGGTTGCACTGGTTGTCGCACCTCAGGATCTAGGGTCTATTGAGTCCAGTACAGCAGCGCAACGCAGACTGTGGCCTTTAAAAGGACACTCGGGATTCAGTTTGGACTGCCCTCCAGCTCTTCAGAATGTTCACTGTTTCAACCAAAGCTGTGGCAGCCACATCTGGAACGTGTAGGATCCCTTCGTCATTTTTTGCAATGACCTGAGCACATTTTGAAACACTTATAACTGATAATACTGATACAGCTGTTGCAGTGGAAAAAGTCTAAGCTGAGCACAAAATTCGAAAATGCTCCAGCTTCATTTCCTGCGGGGCCACATGATGTCACGAGTGACAACAGCGTGGCATGTTTGACAAATAGAACTGGCAGAATTGGTGATCCACCGATGCCAGTGAATCCACTCCTGGAGAGGGACTGGGTACATTTGAACACCGTGGGGCCTCAAACCAAGGGCGAGAACAGCACACAGGGTCGCAAGTCACGCAGCGATGCAAAGACCCCTCGATTTCAGAGGGTGTGTTACAACGTGTTGCAGTTACATCCAAACAATACGTTTGATGTAACTTTGATACATCACTTCGGACGTCAATCATTATTTGATCAAATCCGGATGTATTCTTTTCGAGTCACTGGGATCGACATAACAGTCTTGTAGTGTTGTTGACAAGCTGCTGTTCAAGATGAGATTCACAGAGAGTCCATGAAATCAGGGTATTGTGGTCTGCCTACCATTTTGAGGTCAGCTTGGCTCGTAAGTCACTTGTCCCCTCAAGGCATCTTTGCAGACATGGTCCCTGGACAAGTTGAACGCAATCCGAACAAAGCTCCACTGCACATGTATTTTAAAGTGGTGTACCCGTCTCACTTTAAAGCCCTGGGAATAAAGGTAGCTACAAGGAAGGGATACAAACCCCAAGCATTTGTAAATATTTGTAAGGTGCTTGAAACATCAGCTGTCATTCAGCATTCATCATGAAAACCTGCTGCAACTTTCGCAGACAGATCCAAAGCCAAGAACCTGCAGATCTAGGCAGTTATGGCAGTTGTAAGCAGTTATGGCAGTTGTAAGCTCAGGGCCTCTCTCCTTGCAGACAAAAGCTCTGGTCGCAAAATGCCTGAGATGTGAAGTATCAGTGTGGGCTTGTGAGGAACAAGCCTTAAACGCTGATCATGACATAGCACGACAATCAGCAAAGAATCCAACACGAAACAAACTTGTCAACCGCATTGTAGCTTTGAGGATTTTGAGGTCCTGACATGAGCTTCTGCGGTTCAGACTCAAGACCTGCAACCCCGTCAAGCTAGAACGAAGAAAACTTAGCAAAGTCAGTAAAAGTGAGAGATGGGAATTTCTGGTCGAACGCCAGAAACACACATTGACTGAAACATCAAAAAAATGTAATGTAAAGACTCCTCAAAAGCCCTGCGCGCACATACTCATTTGCAGTCGAAAAAATGCTGGCATCAATTGGGTTCCAGACTGGCTGTGTTTTCGGCCAGACTTGCACAAAAGCCTGCTGCCAGCTGATTGTGTGTGTGTGTGCGACATGGGTTCTTACAAACGCAACACTCATTGACTTGATTGTCACATTGTCGACTAAATTGCTCAACTTCCGCGTATTGCTGTGCTTTTCACGCTATTGTCTCTTAGACCGCTTAATGGCCCTGCATGTGCGTACACAATATATTGTGCACATATTGTGTGCCTGGTGCACAAATGAGAGGGTCAACAAATGCCAGGATCATAAGGATCATAAGTATGTGGCCTGGAAAGAGTGTCACTCGCCTGTGATATACTTACTACAGTAATTAGTAGTACTTTGATGGGTCTGTTTAATTAGTAGTACTTTGATGGGTCTGTTCGTGACTACTACTTTCTTGTCACTTACATTCGTTTGTACACGAGCTGTCCAGCATTGAAACTGTTTCTCCCTCGTCACATTTGGGCAGTAGGCGTAAAAAACCAGTTGAAATATCATTTTCTGAGTAGGACTGAATTCTTGGCCGAACCCTGACCTCTTTGTCATTGGGTGTGCAGGTTTAGGATTGGGTGCTTGGTTGGATCGTTGTCCCAGCGCATATTTGGGTGGGTGTTGCGTGGGACATGGGCGGGTGGGCGGGCTAACGAAAGGCCCGGTGTGCAAATGGGATAAAATGGGTGTCTTGCGCCAAGCACCTCGTTTGTATGAGTATGTTTGTTCACTGGACATCTTTCAAAAATCTTTGAACATCTTGCAAACCTGCTGGCAAGTTGCCGTCTTTGAATAACAAAGCTCTTCCAACAATGGCAGGATAGCGGAAACCTCTTGGTCACACAAGTGCTGGAGTCTTTTCTTGCAGAAAGTACAGATGGCATGTGCAGTTTCCACGCGAGACTCAATCGATAATGATTGTGCTCATTAAAAAAAAAAACATAGTCGACGACACAATGAAACCGGAAAAGGAGACTAAAGAGACTGGTCCAGTGGTCCAGGCCAAGTGGCAGCACTCTTGATGTTCCAATAGAAACACTGACATTGGCAAACGTTTCAAGAATCTTGATCTGAAAACATAATCAGAATGCAGGATTCTCTGGGTGGGTCCTCAAAAGGCTCTCAGGAATTGAAGAGTCAATTGGGCAAATTTGGGAGATTGGAGTTGAGTCTCCAAAAACTGGCTATCCATAGAATCTATAAAAATCTCTTAGACACGTTTCTACATGGCAGAGGTTCAAACGATGAAACCAAACACAGGATGATGAGACTTGCAGTAACCACAGGACCCCAAGATGACCTAAGATGACCTAAGTAGTAAACAAAGGACAAATGTCCTCTTGCTGTCGTTCGATACCAGGCGCTCCAACTTCCGATGCACGAGTTGCAAAAAACATTTGAAAATGCACCGTGAGACCTGTGAGGGTGTCAACCCTCCGCGACATGAGGACTGTATACAGTATACTGCAGCCGTTTGTGATGAAATGCCCATGTGCACCCACATAGACGCACACCCGCACACAGACACAAATGGATACAAATGGATCAAACATGGTGGACCGTTGAAAACACTAAGCTTTAGCGCTGTTACATTTATCTATCTATTTATCTATCGATCCATCCATCCGTCCGTCTATCCATCCATCCATCGATCCATCTCTCCATCTCTCTCCATCTCTCTCCATCTCTCTCCATCTCTCTCTCCATCTCTCTTCAGCCCTATCCATCTCCATCCATCTCTATCCATCTCTATCCAACTCTCTCCATCTCTCTCCATCTCTCTCCATCTCTCTCCATCTCTCTCCATCTCTCTTCAGCCCTATCCATCTCCATCTATCTCTATCCATCTCTAGCCAACTCTCTCCATCTCTATCCATCTCTCTCCATCTCTCTCCATCTCTCTCCATCTCTCTCCATCTCTCTCCATCTCCGTCCATCTCCGTCCATCCCCGTCCATCTCCGTCCATCTCCGTCCATCTCCATCCATCTCCGTCCATCTCCGTCCATCTCCGTCCATCTCCGTCCATCTCCGTCCATCTCCGTCCATCTCCGTCCATCTCCGTCCATCTCCGTCCATCTCCGTCCATCTCCGTCCATCTCCGTCCATCTCCGTCCATCTCCGTCCATCCATCTCCGTCCATCTCCGTCCATCTCCGTCCATCTCCGTCCATCTCCGTCCGTCCATCTCCGTCCATCCCGTCCATCTCCGTCCATCTCCGTCCATCTCCGTCAATCTCCGTCCATCTCCGTCCATCTCCGTCCATCTCCGTCCATCTCCGTCCATCTCCGTCCATCTCCGTCCATCTCCGTCCATCCCGTCCATCTCCGTCCCTCCCTCCATCTCCGTTCCATCTCCGTCCATCTCCATCCATCTCCGTCCATCTCCGTCCATCTCCGTCCATCTCCGTCCATCTCCGTCCATCTCCGTCCATCTCCGTCCATCTCCGTCCATCTCCGTCCATCTCCGTCCATCTCCGTCCATCTCCGTCCATCTCCGTCCATCTCCGTCCATCTCCATCCATCTCCGTCCATCTCCGTCCATCTCCGTCCATCTCCGTCCATCTCCGTCCATCTCCGTCCATCTCCGTCCATCTCCGTCCATCTCCGTCCATCTCCGTCCATCTCCGTCCATCTCCGTCCATCTCCGTCCATCTCCGTCCATCTCCGTCCATCTCCATCCATCCCCATCCATCTCCATCCATCTCCATCCATCTCCATCCATCCATCCATCTAAAAATATTCATGTTTTCCCAAAGCAAAATTCTGAGTCCCCTTGGGGTAGCGCGCAGACCCGTGGTTCGGTGTTGGTTTGGAGTGTGGAAAAACATGAAATGACTGCTCTGAAGCCTCTGCAGGATATGGAGAAGGCATCCTGCACAATGTCAAAACCAAGACAGACCGTTCCAAACCAAGGCTTTTTGTTTTCTCCCAGGCCTCCCATAGGCACTTGCACAACTGGTGACCTGGGCATTGCTTCGCACGGTCGCACGACCCACAGGCTGAGGTCTGCAACTGCACATTGTTGACACAGCATTGACGGCTAGAACACATACAGTAGAACTGCTCAGAGCTGGACAGGCCAAGACTTCCCGTTGCTCACAGGAGTATGGGTGCCCACAGGAGTGTGGCTATGACTGTGGTAACCTGCGCTGATGAAACACTTCAAAGATCATCAAAGATCATCAAAGATCATCAAAGATCCTTCCATTGGATTGATATGATGTGGATGGCTGAGTTGCCCGCCGTTTGCCCTGGCCTGAAATCAACAAGCACGTGGAAAGGTTGGACAAAATGGTGGGGAGCGCCTGCCTGGGGTGTCACTGCCGCATCTTTCCGAGGAGGCCTGAGTTGAAGCATGAAAAATAGAAAGACGGACAGCTGCAATCTTGAGAAAAAAAATGACTGGAAACAACACTGGGTCCGCGGATTTATCAATGATATTCAATTATCCTACGTGGGACGGAGAGTTTGCGCAGACAAGCATGCCATGATTTTTGTTCTCTGCCACTCTATCTTGGGGCTACAGTAGCAAGTCTGAAAAATGTTCAAGACATGATAGATGCAACTTCTAGGATTCGCCACGGTTTATAAATTTAGAAATCACCACACTTGTTTGTGATCATGATGTGCTTCAACCACAGTGCAGAGCCAGCTAGTGGTCACCTAAGACGAACCAACAACCTCAGACCAACAGCGACGGCGAGCTAGGAGTCAGGCTGTGACTGCACCGGGGGCGCAAAGGGCACTCTAACCTTGCTAAAATGGCAAGACTTTCATGAAGTAAAATTCTCATACGTCCACACTTGACTCTAGAACGTGCATGACCCGTCTGCCAAACCAATCCAGCCTGCGAATACACCGGCTGTGCTGCTGGCTGCCCAGCCTTCAAAACGAACGTTGGGCAATGCAATGCCTTTCAGTACATTCCCAATTCAATTTGCCTGATATCTTAGATACTCAGAAGACACAGAAGAGATTCGGAAGCATGTGAAGAGATGGAGCTCAGCTCAGAGGCACAAAATTCACTCAAATGTTGTCTCTTAGGTTTCTCGGGCACTAGCAGAGCGCAGAGCTATCCACAAGGTATAGTTTCAAACAGGCATCGAACAAGCATCGTCAGATTTGCATAAGATACAATCCGCCGCTTCACCAAGCATGAGGTATGAGTGCTGGATATGGGGCAGTTTTAAAAGGAACCGCAGTGGCTTGTTTGGGTATTTGGGGGCTCTCCGTACCCCATTGTGCGAACTGCTTGGAAGGTGCCAGTTTGAGCCGGAGTATGAGTTCGATGATTGATGAGTTCGGAATATGTGCTGTAACAAATGCCCCGACTCCAAGAATGTCTCTGAGCGGGGAATGCTTTTCAAACACGACCTCTAAGCAAGCTTCAGCTTCATGACCGCACCTGTCGAAAAGGCACGACCTTACATCGACGTGTCAAACGGCACACCACGCCCCAGGTGCTTTCGCCTTCCGGGCATCAGCTGCGAGACGAATTTCTGAGTGTCCAGCCACTTTGGCCCCAGGAAGTTGGATTTGCTTCGGGATCTGCACAATTGGCTGCATTGGCTGCGGCTGTGGCTGCCCGTGCTGCGCTTGCTGTGCTTGCTGCACATGCTGCACCTGGAAGGATGCCATACTCTTGATGTGGGTGAACTTTACTGTGACTCCGACCGTTTTGCCCTGTTCGAAAGAACAACGATTATAATCTAGAATGACCAAACTTCACACCACGATGCAACAAACTTTGCAAAGTGATGACCTTTGCAAACTGCGTGAAGATTGGCTAAGCTCTAAGCCTGAGCAATCTGAGGAACAGAGTGCTGGTGCACCAGTTGCGGACCTGAAATCAAAAGACCAGAAAAAAATCGCCAGGCAAAGGCCGCACAAAACCGAACAAGCACAGAAACGGTGTCAACCCCATACCAGTAGTGCCGCGCAAGGCGGTGGCGGAAATTTCAAAAATAGGAGACCTATAGGAAGGGTTGGTTGTTGTGACTCACGGATGGACGAGCGAATCCACTGATGGACCGAAAGTTGGTTGGAGTTGTGCTTTTTGGAGTGATTGCAATGGTTGCAGCGGTCACCTCACTCACAACTCCTGGATGTAGTGCGGTGTGGAGCAGTAGTTGTAGTTGTAGTTGTAGTTGTTGAAGTTGTTGAAGTTGTTGAAGTTGTGATGTTGTAGTTGTGGTTGTAGTTGTAGTCGTAGTTGAAGTTGCTGAAGTTGCCGAAGGAAGATTAGAAGTCAAACTTCCGACAATATGAACAGATGAAAAGCAGAGATGGGAAGAGCCAGAGAGAAGAGAAGAGCAGAAGAGAGAAGATCAGAGAAGAGAAAGAGTCCAGAAGAAAGAAGATGCAGGTGCGCGAAAAGTCAGGAAAGTCGTGAAACACTGTGTGTTTCCAATGATTTGTGGCTCCGGAGGGTCGAAAAGTAGGCTCGCTAAAGCGGCGGGTGCGGAGCCAGCTGGCCAGATGAGAGATGCCTATAGGTTTCCTATTTCTGAAACTTCCGCCACCGCCTTGTGCGGTACTACTGGTACTTGAAGTTGTAGTTGCAGTTGTAGTTGTCTATCTATCTGTCTATCTGCAAGCTTTAAAACGAAGCTATTCTGCGAGACTTCCTCGGGTTTAGTTTTGTTCTTGACAACATCAAAAACGGAGCAGTTCTGCGAGACCTCCTCAATTTTTGAACTTGACAACTTGACAACATCAAAAACGAAACAATTCTGCGAGACTTCCTCAGTTTTTGAACTTGACAACATCAAAAACGGAGCAATTCTGCGAGACTTCCTCAATTTTTGAACTTGACAACTTGACAACATCAAAAGCGAAACAATTCTGCGAGACTTCCTCGTTTTTCGAAGTTGACAGCATCAAAAACGAAACAATTCTGCGAGACGTCCTTCAAAAATGGAAAGTTGAGTGCAGACCTGCTGCCTCGTGCCAATGCGTTTTGCGATTTTTCCAGTCCACCTGGCTAAACTACTGTGCCTGCCACGAAAAAGTGATACTGGGCCATACGAAGTGCTGCACCTGTCACGCAAAATCATCTTCCCAAGACTGAAGATCTGATGCTCCAAAATGCAACCCCTCTCAGGAAATTAGCACCCGGACCTCCCAACATCTCTGATGAACATGTCTCTTGTACTGCTCCTGCCACGCGACATGCATCTTTGCAGATCTTCTTCAAATGCCCCACGTCTGCCATCGTTTTTGAAAATGCCACAAAACCCTCATTTTTTGCTCACTTTTGGCAAGGTGCAGAATCCCTCGCACTTGTCACGCAAAACGACGCTTCAACGTCCAAAAGTGGCACGAACATGTGGTGTTTTGTACATTTTGACTTCGACATGTGCTTCGCGCCGCAATGCACAACAGCATGCACTTTTTCGACATCACAAGTGGTCCAAACCGGTCAGTTTTTTACACTTTGACTTGAAAATGTGCTTCTCGCCACAACGGCGTGCACTTTTTCGACATCTCAACTTCCAAAAGTGGTCCGAACATGAGGTGCTTTGTGCATTTTGGCTTGGAAATGTGCTTCGCGCCACAACGGCCTGCACTTTTTCGACATCCCGACTTCTAAAAGTGCTCCGAGGCTGAAGTGTTTAGTACATTTTGACTTCGAAAAGTGTTCGCGCCACAACGGCGTGCTATTTTTCATCTCTCATCTGGCCAGCTGGCTCTGCACCCGCCGCTTTAGCGAGCCTGCTTTTCGACCCTCCGGAGCCACAAATCAGTGGAAAAACACAGTGTTTCGCGACTTTCCTACCTTTTCGCCCACCTAGATCTTCTTTCTTCTGAGACTTTCTCTTTTTTGATTTTCTTTCTTCTTCTCTTCTCTTCTCTTCTCTTCTCTGACTCTTTCCATCTCTGCTTTTCATCTTCTAAACTTCCTTCGATAAAATAGATGCACCCTCCCCGCTAGATTCAGTTTGATTATGCATGAGATTGGTCAAGAAGTAGAGTCTCACTATTCCAAACGCTTATATACAGTTTCTCTGCCAGCTTTCACTCAGGATCCAGATTCTCCAACTTCGCAAACATCATGAGGCCTTTAAACAAATATCTTAGCGACACGGCTACCAGAAGAAATCCCACAGCTGGACTTGCGCCTTTCATCATCGGGCAAATGTCAGCTAGAAGTGAGCATAATGTTTGAGGCACTTGTCAGATCGGGTCTTCCATCTCTACCTTTGTATACTTGCGTACACACGTACATGCATCGGAACTGGAACTCTGAAACTCCTAGCAAGTCGTTTCGCAATGACGGAAACGGATAAATTTCTTTTGCACTCTGCAATCATAATCTCACAAAAAACAGCCGCTATCACTTGTTGGGGAATTCAATCGACACTGTGTCATTGTGTTCCATGATGCTCCATGATGTTCCATGATGTTCCATGATGTTCCATGATGTTCCATGATGTTCTATGATGCTCCATGTGTGTGCAAACAGCCTGTCCTTGTTTGTGGACTATCCGTGTTTCCATGGAGTTTGTCGGAAGTGTGGCACATGCAGCCTAGCCTACATGCACGTCATCTGTCGAGCCAAATGGGGCCAACATGCCCCACGAAGTACGTCTGGACATGACCACTCAGGACCCTTAAAAAGCGCTACCGCTAGTTCGCCAGAGATGCTCCATTTCCCTCTTAGTCCAAACCCTGTCATGTTTCAATCATTTTCAAAGAATCAGTTCAGCCAACAGTCAGTTTGCTTTCACCTTCAAGCCAACCTTTCCTGTTCTAGCTGCAATCTTTTCAGTGACTACTGGTTAGTGCCATACACGGCTTTGCCGTCAGTGTGGCAGTCTCCGGTTCTCAAATGTTCTGGAGCTATCTGGAATGTGGGGCTATCTTCTTGCTGTGAAACGATCAGCAGTTGACAGGATCCAGATCAGGAAGGTCAATGGATAAACAATCCAACGGTTTGTACTTCGCACCTTCCTCCAATAACGCGGAGACCTCACGTGAAGTGCCCGACAAACGGAGTAAAAAGCTACAGCCAAACTGAAGTGGGGACGAGTGCAAGATCTACAGTCTGCCGCAAGCACCATTTCTTGCAGTTGACTTTGGGTTACCAACTTCCTCGTGGCGCTTCCAATTCATCTCTGCACAAGGAACAGTCTTGTAGATCTCTGGGAGTTCCTGAAAGAAACATAAAGAAACTTGAATTCTGAATATTGCCATGTTCCAAGCACATCTAAACTTTATCTAAACACATTGCAAAGCAATTGGCTTCGAGAGTTTCAGAATGCCATGCACCTGGTCACCTCGGCTAACCCAAGGCGGTGGAAGGTTGCGACACCTCGTCATCAGCCGAACCCACACTGGAGGCATCATGGATCATGATGGCATGATTCAAAACAATTCGCACAAATTGTGCATAATTTGAGATGCGGTTAGAGCAGCAAATGTGTCGCGCAAAGTTAACCGTCTCTTTCTGTCGACAAAATGAATGTTCCACACCCGATCAATACATTTCTCTTGACACATCATTGAGGTTGCAGCGGGAGCAAATTTTTGCCGTACTTGTAGGAAAGAACATTTCCAACTGCAGGAAAATAATTTGCAACGCCTTGGCAGACTCGCAGATCTCTATGTTGCAAGGCTGATCGCGTCTCCGTGTCCTTTCAGCCCCCCCACCTTCGCTCCTTCATTTTACAGATTCTTATATACAGATTCTTATATACATATTCTTATATACAGATTCTTACTACTTGCAGATTCTTATAGTATCTTTATGCCTTCTCCTTGGGCAATTTCGGCAATTTCCGAACGTTTTACTCTACATATCGGAAGCTTGATGCTTTCTCTCCCGGGCTCAGCGCAGCGCAATATTTGCCGTTTGATGAAAGGGCCATCCCTACCTGAGCTAGGGAAGCCTAGGGAACTAGCTGCAACTAGCTGGGACTCCAGGGAAGGCTGTGAAACAATGCAGAGTTCAGCCTTCACAGCCTTCACACTGGGAAGCCTGCTGAGCATGTTCCACCCCACATCATCTGGATGAAATTGACGCACCCTTTTTGAGCTCCAGGGCGTGCATAATCGTAATTTTCCTGCCGCAGGTGGCAACACAAACAACAGCTCATGCAAGGATTCTTGGAGAACACATAATGTGGTGAGAAACAAATGTCTCTCCCTGAAAAACGCTGTGCCAAGCCTGCCTGTTCGCTGTACCACTGGCCCACAATGTGATCCACAGCTGTTTGGTCCCATTTCAGCTCCTTCCTCATCTCATTCAAAGGTGGTTGAGCAGCAGCTATCGCAGTTTCCAAGATCAACACTGGACGTCGAGGCCCTCATGGAATTGTGGCTAGAAGACCATCCGTTCACCATGACCCTCTTTGTGAATCCGTTCCACTGAATAATGGCTTGCCTTGTCAGGCTTTTCTTTGCAGAACCTTTGCCCTTTGAAAGAAGGAAACTCTCTGTAAATCCACTTCCCCTCAACCGCGTAATCTGATTTTAACAGCTATGATCAGCTATGCTCATGGCCCGGAAATCTGCATAACATCTGAAATCCAAATCATCCAAATGCATCTGTTCATAGACGAGTCAGCTCACGCTCGTTGGATGTTATGGGCCCGTCCTTGAAGGCCCTAAGGAATTCTGCCCATGCCGCCCATTAAGGCTTTCTACGAAGTTCTTGGGCCTGGGATCTGAACGCGCAATGACATGCAATGGCAGCTCATTCTCTGTGGCACAAGTAAGCCTAAGTAAGCCTAAGTCCTAAGTAAGTCCTAAGTAGGTCAGGATCAGCAGGATCAGCAGGATCCCACAGCCTGGCGCTCTGAGAGTCAAGCAAACGCCTCTCGGCTGCTTCGCATGCTTGTGCCTGCATCCTGGCCCGCCCATCTGACCCTCTGACCCTGTGCCGCGCTCGACAACCAAATTGTGTGAAATTGACGATTGCTCGAATTGCTCGCCGCTTCAGGCGGATGTTTCCTGCCTGGCATGTTCGTAGCATTCCTCACTCCACACCTGATATTTGCAACACGACTCAGATCAACAGATTCTTTCCTTATCTTGTCATATTTCTCCGTAAAGACGGCAAACAATTCAGAGCTCGTCTGTGTCCATGTTTGTGTGTCTGCGCCCGCAGCCAAGTGCAGCGCATTGCAGGTGTGATAAGGTGTGATAAGGTGTGATAAGGCTTGAATTTTCTATATTTCTCAGTATACTCTGAGTTTCTGTTCCCCAGACCTCCAGAGTCGTGTAGTTATGCAGCTGAGTTGCTAAAGGGGGCGTCCAGTGGGCCGACCTCCTTTCATTGTGAGCCATCAGCACAGCTTGGACCCATGCCTCCCCGGGCTCAGCGGAAGCACAAAGGGGAGCTGACATAGCACTACATATGTATGTGTATATATATATATATATGATTGCATATGTAAAAATACATATCTATACACATCTTTACACAGAACAAAAACAATATCATATCATATCAGTATCATCAACATCAAACAAGGTCCAACAACATGATCCCATGGCTGTGTCATGATCTACATCTACGTAGTTAGATCTTGGCAAGTAGGAGTCGGACCGGAGGAGCAGTCTTGTCGTCACCCTCCAATACGAACTCGCTCGCAGTTGGAAGCAGCTTAGGACCTGCAGCAGGAAAACGCTGACATGCTGAAGTAAGAAATCTGATTCTAAGCTTGAAAGACTTGAAAGTTGGCAGGGGCACTTCTACAGGCATCTGGCATGCGAAATACTGGAGCTTCGAAATCTGCTAGGATAGCCATGGCCGCCATATTCACTCTGGCAGGTCTCAGGAGCTGACCCGCAAAAAGATGTTATCACAAGATGTCACTTCAGGTGTCACTTCAGGTGTCACTGCAGTGTCACTCTTGTTTCGGAATCAAATGATCAGTTTAGTTGTTTTTGCCCCAGACCATAACTTCAGCTGCCTGTCTTTATCCAATGAGTTCATTGAATCTGAAACTCACATAGGGCCTGCCAGGCTCTTCTTAGGTGATCTGCCACCAATTCTTGTTCCGCGCTTCTGAGAGGAGAGAGAGCTTTTTGGTGATGCCATGCCTACAATCATAGGCTCCAAGCGATCAAAGTATCAAAGATCATTCAGATACGCGGCGTATTTGTCATGCTGCTTTCATGGTGCATTTAGTCTGTAGGTTTATAAACCTCAGTTTGGTAACTTTTCAGAGTGTTTTTGGTGCATTTCAGGGTTGGAACTGCAACAGCTAAGAAACCCATACTGGCTGGGTTCCGTTTTGGACCCTGTGGGTGCGGAGGCTGGTTGGTGGGTTCGCTGGTTGGGGGTCATGGAGAACAACAGCATGTATATATATATATATCTATCTATAGCACGCTGCTGCTCTTGGCACTCGACCTTACAAGTTTGAATTTGATGTCATTGGATGTCATGGGATGCTACTTGTCTAGGTATGTTACAGCAGGGTTTTCTTGCGTCGTAACAGGACGTGAGAGAGCATCCGGTCAGAAGGCTGAGGAGGTTTGGGGACTGAGTTTATATGCACAGAGCTACTGTAGTATGTACGTGTACGTTAACGTAACGTGTAACATGTACGTGCATGTACATATGTATATATATATACATATATATATATACATATATATATATACATATATATATATATACACATACACATACACATACACAATACATACACATATACATACACATATACATATGCATATACATATACATATACATATACATATACATATAACTGATGCGTGCGATTCCAATTCCACCCTGCCTCAAAGCAGTCCCAGATTGAAAAGACTGGGAGCCTTCATACAGTTACTCTGCATGTGGGTAGTTTTCTTGGTTTTTTGCCCATGTAATTTTGTTTTTTTTGACTGCGTTCGCTTTGGCTTGAGCGGCTGCTACATAAGTGCCAATATCACGGCCCCCACTTTGGTCACAGGGTATTAATTCTGCTGAAATCATGACAGCATAGTCACTATGTCTTCGCTTCCATGGATGAGGGGCTGGCAAATCAATCGCGGAGCACGTACACACGTGCATGATCTGCACAAACACCTATACACATACACCTGTACACATACACCTATACACATACACATACATACACATACAAATACACATACACATACAGTCTACATTAATTACTACTATTACAATTAAAAAAAAAAACAGAACCAAACGTTCGCCCATACTCACATAGTCTCCCATTTTTGCCACGGTTTTAACAGTTCTCTCATCCAAATCCATAAGGATTCCCTCCATTTTTCCATCATTTTTACCATTGGTTCCATGATGTCGCATTTTTTCCATGATGTACCTTATATATATATATATATTGAATCAGAATCTGAGATATTATGTTATATTTTCTTCCGTCATGTTACATCATTACAGAAGGATATAGATACATATATATATATATGCCACCCCCTCAACAATACGTATAAAGGTTTTATAATGGATATAATATGTTATATTTTCTTCATGTTACTATTACTATTTAAATATCATTGTCATTACTATTACTGTACGTGTATAATATATATATATTATACATATATATTATATGTGTTATGTATGTTATATATATATATCATATACATTATATATGGTGGTTGATCAAAATTCCTTTATCCGGGAACAGCCATTCTTCGCGAATAAGCATGTTGCAGTACCTTCGCGAAACTTATGCGAAAAAAATGTTACTTTCGCGAACTCGAAAAAAAAACGTTCGCGAGGGTTCCAACATAACATGCACGGCCTTCGCAATTAAAACTCCATCGATCACAATATTATAATGTCTATAATATTATATATATATTATATATATACATAATATATATATATAATAAAAAAAAAATAAACATATATATATATATAGGATATATACATATTATATACATATTACACATAATTTATTTCATATATAATACATATATTACATATATAATACATATTGTACATATATGATATATTAAACATATATGATATTATTTATATATGATATATATATATATATTTATATAGATATGATGTATATAAATACATATATATATATATTAATGTATTTGTATATATATATATATCATGTATCTATGTATATATATATATCATATATTTAATATCATATATATATAACTATAATATAATATTATGTGTGTAGATGAAAGGACAGGATGAAGTGAAAGAAACCAAAAATGGAAAGGGGCCAAAGAGTGCAAGGTAAACCTCTACTATAATATAATATTATGTATATTATACACAATGTCATATATATTATATATATTATTATATTATATTATATTATATTATATTATATTTTATTATATTATATTATATCGTATCATTTCATATTATACTATATTGTATTATACTATATTATATTAATATTATATCATATCATATAATATCATATTGTACTATAATATTATATAATATTATATTATATTGTATTATAATATTATGTTATATATTGTATATTGAATATGTTTAATACAATATAATATTATATAATATTAAATCATATGATTTGACATCATATCATATGATATTATATCATAATAAAAATATTGAACATACAATTATACAATTTAAATAATATATAAATATATATATATAACATATGTATATATCATATACATTGTATTATATTATATTATAGTGTACTATATTATATTTTATTTTATTTTATTGTTTTATATATTATATATTATATACTATATATATTCTATTATATATGATATATTATATGTTATATATTATATGTTATATGTTAATATATTATATATTATATATTATATTATATTATGTACTATATTATATTATATTATATTATTTGATATTATATGATATTATATCATATCATATTATATTATATTATATTGTATTATATTATATTATATATATACAATTGTGCACAATCCATATGTATACACCCTTACAACCCATGTAATTAGATATGTGAATTTGCCCAAATGGACAAGCTACATTTCGCTTGTCCCACCACCTGTGGCCACCCTGCAAACTGGCAAGTGTTCACAAAACCGGCCAACCTCAACCAGAGCATTAGTTGCGGCATCAAACAGTCAGACACAACATCTACTCGCACTGTTAGTGCACAGTGAAAAACGTAGTGCTCTGTAACCATGTATTGCTGACTCGGTTCCGAAAGGTCATTAGACATATGCAACCAAAGACTGTTGCTGCCAAAGTTTGCATGTAAGAGTTGCTAACTTCCTTCATGCTTTGCACCTTGAGCTCTATCATGCTGAGGGATTCATTCTTGAGCCTTGCAAACGATACAAATGAATAATGAAGAACTACACAACACCTGCCAACTGCGCCAATTGAGCCAAAGAATTGACTGAATAAAGATGAAGTATGACGAAATTCAGCCATTCAGCCAGGCTTTTTTCGATGCCAGCGATTCCCGGCTTGATGAATATGATGCGTCGCAACGCTTCACCTTGTCTTTCCAAGGTAAAGTCTGCATGGCAGTCAGTGCCAAAAGGTTGTCATTGCTATCCATAGAACTGAGAGAACTGATGAGGTTGGGCCTGATGCAAAGATACAAACAGACTCTGCTCGATGATTTGAATCGAGGCTGAAGAATGCTCTTGACACCCTTTTCTGATAGCACATATAGCACAAAACATGACGGATAACACAGGACCACCCCCAAGCCCCAAACCAGCATTGGAAAAAGTTTGAGAACTGATTCCTTGCCTGCGTTCCGTTTCCTCCGTAGTAAACCATGAGCACTGCTGCACCCTGCGCTGGGTTTGTGAAGACCGATGCAGCTTTGGAAGGTGGCGGCACCGAAAAAGATGCCTGCATTCGGACTGTGTGGCATC